ATTACAAGACTAAAGCATTGTTAGGAACTAGATAAAAGATATTATAGACTACGCGCTTATAAATACCTACTCTAATAAACCTATAGTGTTACCTTAGGTAGTTACTACTTTATAAGCAGACTTTAACAAGTATAAAATAGAGAAGAAGAATTTGTAGTAGACTTTAAATATAAACTCTCTAATTTTATTTATATATAAGTACATGCTAGATAGAAAAAATAACAACTAGTATAAGTTCTAGTAGTATATTTTCTTCTACTTAGAAGACGTTACTATTTAAGACGTTTAAACCTCTATTAAGTATACTTTATATAGTCTTAATTAGACTAAGACTATAGAGGTAGTTACACGCTATTAGATAAAGATACACTCTTATTAGAAGCTAGCTATTTCTATTAACACTAAATTTAGATTTACTCTAAATAAGTTAGAAGTAATTAATAATACTAGTAATTAAATTAACGCTAAGCTTAAAGAGCTAGAAGCAAAGCAGCTAAGTAAGACTTAGTAAGTATTACTAGATCTAGAAGTTTAAGAAGTTTAAGAGTAGAAAGTAGATTATAAAGTTATTAAGTAAAGAGCCGCTACTATTAAGAGCTAGGCTATAAAGCTCTAAAGAAACTAGATAATAATAGAGCTTTCTCTACTACTACCTCTTTCTAGTACTAGCGCTCTAAAGTCTACTTAGGCCTATTATACTATAGCTAAGAAAGTAGACACTACTCTTAATAATAAAGACTATAAGAATAAGAATTAAAATACTAATAAGATTAAGAAATAGATAATAAATAAAAGCTATTACTATATAAATTAGAGCTTAGATTTTCTTACACTTATTCTAGATAGTTATAAGAAGTACACTAAACTTAATAATTATAAACGTGTTAAGGTTATTAACGTATAGTATTAAAAGGTCTATATTAACTAAGTAAAATGTTCTAGCTAACTTAATACAAATTGTGTCTACTAGCTCTATATATAAGTAATAGCTACCTATATAGAGCTCTTTAAGTAAGCTATAAACGCTACTTTTATTAATAAGATTCTTACTTTTTTATACCTCTCTTAGAATAAGTAGCATAAGTTCTAATCTTATCTAGTAACATTAATTCTCTTTATTAAGCAATAGAGAGTTAGCATATAAGAGTCTAACCTACTTAGTTACTACTATTATTTTAGTATTGTAGAGAACCTATTTCTAATTCTTTTATAGAAATTAATTTAACTTAAAATAGACTAGAGAGATATATATAATAAATTCTATCGCATAGAAAATATTATTATAAGTAACTTTAACTAGCTTATATTTAAGAACAAGAAAGTTATTAATATTATTAAGTAATTCTTTAAGATATATAGGTACTACCTCTAATAAGTAGATAAGTAAGAAAATCTAGAATAGTTGCGTATTATATATTACTCTCTTATTTAGTAAGCTATGCGTACTAACCTTTATTATTAGTTAGCTTACGCGGTTCTTTGTAAAGAATATATAATAATCTCTTATTCTTACTATACTAAGTACATAGAGGCAGAAGACGCTACGTTCTTCTACTATATTAATCTTAACCTTACTGTTGCTAATAAGACTAGGCTAGAGTCTAAAATAATTTAAGGTTTAGTTTCTTTTAACGCAGAAAACAATAAGAACTATACTAAGGTATTAAAGAGCTTTTACTATTATATTAAGCTATACTTAGCGTAGTGTTAGACTATTAAAAAGAACTCTAATAGTCTTATTAAAGAATAGAAGAATGTTAACAACTAGACACTAGTAGTATAAGTAATAGCTTCTAGCGTGTAATAAGCTAAGACTATATGTTAATAAGAAGATATATGCATTACGTACCTAATAATACTATATAGATCTATAAGACCTACTACTATAACCTATTAAATAATTCTTCTATAGTTTGTTATAGTACGTTAGGGCGTTATAAAGAACTTAGCTATAGAAACGTATAATAAGATTACTAAGGCTTATTGTAATCTTACTACTTCTCTAACTTTACTATTAAGTTATTATAATAAATATAGTAGTGTTAAGTAGTTATTTTTAGTAAATGTATACATTAATTTTAACTTATAAATTTAGAAGACTCTTCTTGCGCAAGTCTTATAGAATAACTCTCTTGTTTGTATAGAACTCTATAAGTTGCTTAATAAGAATAAGAAAGAAATTATAGAGTTTATTAAAGAATAATATAAATATATTCTTAACTAGATTAAGAAATTATAGCTAGTAGTTATTTAACTTAAAAAGGCTACCTTTACAGTAAATAAAGATAAGAGTAATCTAGACTACTTCTTCTTTACTAATAAGAGTTACTATTCTAAGCAAGAAGGCGACTAGTTTAGATAGAACTATAACTATTTTTCTAGTAACACTATTAATTATCTTATTAACAAAATTAATATAGAATCTAATATTTAATATTACTTCTAAGAGAACTAGAGTATACTTATAATATCTAATTCTTCTTCTCTATTTAGAACTCTACGCTCTTAATTAGGTACTTTATTATTCTAGAATAGCTCTATACGTTCTACTAAATCTTTACTTTCTTTTATTCTACCTATTTCTTCTAAATTTGTAGTATAAGCTCTGCTTTCTTTTACCTCTATTACTAGTCTATCTATAACTCTACGCTGTAGTAAGCGTACTAAGAAGTAAGGTAGATATTAGTGTAACACTACTAGTACTTAGATTTTAGGTAGCTACTTAATTTTACCTAAAATCTAAGTATTACTAATAGTATAACGTTTTACTACTACTTTCTCTACTTAATCTTTGTATTTGTATTTGTATTTTCTTTCTTTTATTTTTTCTTTATTCTAGAAGTATACGACTTGTCTTAGAGTAAGTATAAAGAGACTATACTATAAGAAAAGAGAGGTTTGTGCTAGTGTATAGAGTTTCTTAGTGTAAATTAGCTATTTAATTATCTAAAGATTACTAAGAATAAGAACTTTAATAGATAAGAACCTAAAAGAAGGTAATAGTAGAGAGAATCTCTTAAAAAAAAAATCTTTTTATTTAATCTTTTTTATTAATCTTTTTAATCTTTTTTCTAAAGATAAGAATAGCTTTCTAGATACTAGACACTTGTATAGTACTTTAGACTAGAGAATCTCTCTAGAATAGAATCTCTTTCTACTAAACTAGCGCCTATATACCTCTTTACCTATGCTAACTACTTTATATACTTGTAGTAGTACATCTTTATATTCTCTAACACCTATATAATAAGAAGTAGAGAATAAGTTACTATACTTTAAAAGCTTATAAATAAAGTAATCTATATTAATAATAAACTCTATAAACTATAGCTAGAAGAATAACTATTTATATAGAAAATATAAGCACCTAGAAATATAAATAAGAATAACTAATTACGTTAGCTATTTTACTATTTGTACTCTAACTAAGAACATTAATAAAGCTATATACTTAGAATTCTAGAATTATACGCTATAAATAGCTATAAGCCTATATACTTTAATAATATTAATAAAGAACCTAAAAAACTAAAGTTTTATAATAAGAAAGATAAGAATAAGAAGTTTAATTACTACGCCTATAGTAAAGAAAGTTATATAGCACAAAACTATAAAAGCTAAAGTAAAGTAGTAAGATAGCTTAACGTTTTATAACTTATAAGACCTACTAATAAAAAAAAATAGAATATTATTACTTTAGCTTACTACTACCTCTAAGAATTTAAGAAAGAAATTATAAATAGACTAGATAATCTAACTTTATTACTCTAGAGAAATTGTAAAGGTTATTCTAAGATAACCTAAGATGTTAGTTCTTAGAAATAAGTAAGCGAGGTAGAATAGAGTTAGTGTACTAGCACGTTTAGTAGAATAATATAATAGTACAAGAGTATAATAGCACGTTTAGTAGAATAATATAATATTATAAGAGTGTAAAGGTTATTCTAAGATAACCTAAGATGTTAGTTCTTAGAAATAAGTAAGTAAGGTAGAATAGAGTTAGTATACTAGCACGTTTAGTAGAATAATATAATAGTATAAAAGTATAATAGTATATTTAGTAGAATAATATAATATTATAAAAAGTTAAGAAAGAAGTATAATTCTTAGATTAAATACTAAAGTCTTATATAAAGTTAAATATACTAAACTATAGAGATGTAGTATCTAAACTATATACTTATATAGTAGTTCTAGTAACTTCTAATAATAGTAGGTATAACTTTCTAGTAGTAGTTATAATAGTTATAATTACTTCTAGCAATAGTTCTTAGTAAAGTAAGTAATAACTCTTAGTAAAGTAATTAGTTATATAACTACTAATAGTTATTACCTTAGAGAATTATTATTCTAGTTCTAAGTTGTGTAGCGCGGTTACAGCGTAGTTGTTAGCGTTTTAACTCTAGGTTATAACACTCTACTCTACTATTAATACTCTACTGTAATAATTTCTAATTATAGTTCTAGATAGTGTTGTATAGTAGTATATAGTTGTAATTTTTAGTAGAGTCTTAGTAGAGTAATTAACTCGCTTATGTAATTAACTTGCTTGTGTAATTAACTCGCTTGTGTAATTAACTCGCCTGTAGAGTACGTTAGTTAATAAAGTATTATAGAGTAGAGGTAGTTTTAGTGAGGTCTTTGCATAAGTGTTTCGCAAAGCCTACTAATCCGCGAAGCATGCACCTACGTTAACCAAACGTTAGGTATACCTAACCTAACTCTAACCCGAGCTAACCTAACCTTAACCTATTTACCAGCGTAAGAACGCGTCTTGAAGTTAGGCAGGGCACGAGCCTATTAGCCTGTCGGAAATGTTATTTTGCCGTCCCGAGTATCAGCTCGTCCAGCACAGCTTTTCTTAAACAGAAACTAGGCTGCGACCGCTAAGTAAGCTGCCGTTTGTAGTGTCAGTGGTTGGTGGGGCGGATCGGGCATGTACCGGTAGCCGTCCGAGGCACATGACCGTCCGGCACGGTAACGACGACACCGACAAGCTACGGGATCGCGCAGCTTGGCAGCGGAACACAGCGGATGAGTCGTAACGAGCAAGGAACTCTGCAGTCTACATTATAACAAGCACCGAAGCAGCAATTGTGGAAGAATTCATTTCATGATTTGACGTCAACACTGCCAAAATGTCTGTCCAAGATCATGCTCCTTTATCGCAGAGAGCTGTGCCCCATATGAATCGTCTCTCTGGCACACACGTCCTCGTATTCGGCGGATCTTCTGGCATTGGTTTTGCAATTGCCAGCATGGCACTGTCAAACGGAGCTACTGTTATCATCTCTGGATCCCAGCAAGCAAAGATCGAAGACAAGGTCCATCTTCTTCGATCTCTGTATTCATCTCTTCCTTCAGAAAACGTCATTGGCTACGCGATCGACTTAAAAGATTCCGAAAACCTCGATTCAAATCTAAGAACGATGTTTGAGACAGTTACATCGAACGGCAGCAAAAAGTTGGATCATATCGCATTCACAGCAGGAGACCACCATTCGATACCCAAGCTTTCAGATATCACCCTTGAGCAAGCCATGCTTGGTTCTAAAATCCGACTTATCGCGCCCTTGTTTATCGCTAAACTCATCAGCACCGGAGCGTACATGCATCTTACGTCAAATTCATCCTTCACGCTCACGGGAGGAATCGGAACTACAAAGCCTCTGCCTGGATGGCTAATTCCGACAGTCTGGGGAGCATCTGCAGAAGGATTATCGCGTGGGCTTGCAGTCGATCTTGCGCCGCTTCGGGTGAACATCGTCAAACCTGGTGCAATCGAGACAGAAATGCTGCAAGGATTGTTAGCCCCGATGCCGATAGAGGCAAAGGAAGGCATGAAGAAGCAACTCAATCTACTAGGTACCTTTGGTCAACCAGAGGACATTGCTGAAGCGTATGGCTGGATTATGAAGGATCGCTTTGTGACAGGCACTGAAATAGCTGTAGATGGTGGACAGATGCTTCTAAGCAAATAGCTAGGAATAACATCTATTGTATTATTGTTAGGACTTAGTTCTACTCTACTGCGCCAAGGCAACCAAATAGGTAGAAATAATAAACGATAGTTAATTTCTAAGTAGAATAGTACTTGTACGTAGAATTAAACTCGGATTCCTTACAATTATTACTAAGTAACGTACTCTATAGGCGAGTTAATTACATAGGCAAGTTAATTACTCTACTAAGACTCTATTAACTATACTATTACCTACCTTATAACTATAATAAGCTAATAACTAAGTAGTCTAACATAAGTGTATGCTTTGTAGTCTAGTAGGCTTTGTAGTCTACTTGTGCTAAGACTCTACTAAAACTACCTCTACTCTATAATACTCTATTAACTATACTAAATAGAACTATTAAAGAAAGCTAGAATATAAACTATACTTTAAGCTATTAAATAAGATATAACTTTCTTATTATAATACGCTATAGCTACTTATAATATATCTTATATAACTTTATACTATTAATATACTAGATAACTCTTATAAGTAGATTATAGGCTAATAATAATAAGCTTAAATAAAACTAAAAAGAAAGTAATTATTTAGTATATACTTAATCTAGTTAAGTAAGAATTTCTTTCTTATCTTAGAATTATAGCTAATATAGCTACCCCCCCGGGCCCGAGGGACAGGACCTACAGTGTACTTTTTTTTGGAATCACGCGATAACGCGTTACCATATTAGACCTAATAGTAAACTCGAAAATCTCTAACGTAAGCCTAGATTTGCGCCTTACAACTTTACGCTGTATTCTATAATTACTACTAACACAACAGTTACTACGCGCGCAATTACAACGCGCTAACTATTTTACATTTATTACACATTACTAAAAGTTATCTAGGTTATTAATTAGCAGCACTAATACCCGCTCTATACAATCGCGCAACACTAAAAGGAAACCTAGCAAGTCTACCCGCACTAGCACAAAGCCTAACCTAAGACACCTACATAACACCTACAAGATTACTAGCAACCTATATCCTATGCGCAATTACCTACAAGCCTAGCTATATTAGCAGCTACATTGTGCAACCGCTACAGCCACTGTCTACATTTACTATTGTCCGCCTGCCTATCCTCTGTCTATGCCTACAAGTCTCTAGGTCCTTCACTGCGGCTACAAAGACAATAAAATACTGCGCTCAAGATCGTATATCGCGCGGATACAGCAAAAGACCTTTAGCTTCCACCCCTTATAAAGGTCTCCTAGGGCAATTTTAACAAAGTCTTTCTTCTAGGCTATTATTAAAACTCGTGCGTTAAAGAGTTTCTCCTTAAGATGCTAGAGTTGCCGTAACTATACCTTCGCAAAGGCCTGCTTAGTAGCTAAGAGGTCTAACCTCTATCCTATAAGCACCGCGCCTACTAAGAAGACAATAATTACTAATATAGCGTCGCTGTGCAGCTTGTCTAGAAATTCCTTGTCGTTAACATTAAAGTTAGTGCTATAAGTACAGCTAATCTAGCCGCTAGCGTACTTTAGCCTAACCCTTCTATTAAAGACAACCTCCTCTAGCACATCGCTTAGACTATAGCAGTAGTCGTTTGCTATTTTCTAGGTAGTAGGCTGTAACCTACGCTTAGTGTTACGGTAACCACCGTGGTTCCCCTAACACCTGAACGCACAGATTTCGGGTGGCTCGCCAGTCCACCCGAAATCTGTTAATTGGCCAGCTAAGGCCTGAGCGCCGCGCACGGCCCTAGCTATATCTTTCACCGCTTTGCATTCTGTTCTGTTCCTTACGCAACGTCTTGTATTACACTAGATATTATACGTAGCTACAATTAACGCTTCTTGTAAGCTCTTAAACACGTGCTCGTAGCGTCTTGTGACATTACGTTGCGTCACACCACTATGACTACTCAAGGGCAACCTGACGCGTTGCAATTGATCCTGAATCAGCTAAATGCTATCCAAGCTGATTCCGCTGCATTGAAAGCTAGCAACGAAGCACTACTTGCCAATCTAGCTGAACAAGAAAACCGACACTCTCAACAGATTCTAGAGCTTCGCCAAGAGCTTGAGTCTATTAAGACTAGGTCTGCTCCTGCTGCTACCCCAGCCATTACTCGAACCAGCGCTGAGGGAGATCAAGTTCGTCTAGAAGAGCTATCTGGAATTGGCTCGAATCCTGCGACGCCGCCCAACGCGAACCTGAAGGACCTTCCCCGAACCGACCGTCTGCCTGACCCGCCTCTGTTCAATGGCCGACGAAAGGACCTCCCTGCCTTCGTCCGCAAGCTTAGGTACAAGCTCGAGGGAAACGCAGACCGATACCCGAACGAAAGATCCCGCCTGCTATACGCTCACTCTAGACTTGAGAAGGACGCAGTAGCTCTTATCGACCCGCTTATGGACAAGGATATCCATAATGTAGACCAGCTTGTTACCTTTCTTGAAGCTACCTACGGAGACCCAAACAAGGAGCTGACAGCTCTTAGTCGATTAAGCGGACTCCGTCAAGGAAAGCGCAGCTTCACCTCCCACTTCGCCGAATTCCGACGACTAGCTGCTGACACTGGGTTAAATGAGATTGGCCTGATCGCGTCCCTCCGGAACTCTCTATCCCACGAACTTCAACGTGCAATGGTTGGAGAAGCCTTGCCTAGCGACCTTAACGATTACGCTAACCTGATATCCACGTACGATAATAACCTCCGTTTCCTACCAGACCGCCCACGACGCTACCCTGTAACCCACCCCGACGCAATGGAGATAGACGCATCAGCATACGCCCCCGCTGGTTCCTCCGAACGACAGAAGAGGATTAAGGAAGGCCGCTGCTTTAAGTGCAACCAGAAAGGTCACATCTCTAAGGATTGCAGCGCTCCCCTACCTACTCAGCATATCCGATCCTATAGCGCGCGTGACCACGACCGTACCCAGTCTACTAGTTCTGTCTCGTCAGGATCCTCGCGACCTTCGCGATCCCGAGGACGACGTTCTCGTAACCGATCCCAGAAGGGAAAAGCCTCGTCCCGAGGATAAGTCGCTCCCCGGGACTGCGCACCCACCGAATCTCTGCTGAACTCTGGTCTGAATCTCAGACTGATACCTGGAAACGTTGTATTACAATACCTTGTACGGTTCAACAAGGCGGTGTTAAGAGTAACCTTAAAGCCTTAGTTGACACTGGAGCTACTGGTATTGGATACATTCACAGAGACCTCGCGCGCAACCTAAAACTACGTCAAGACCCGCTGCCCTACGTTATTTACCCGACTGGATTTACTGGAACTGTACTCGACGGTGGAGAAGTGTCTCACACTGTCACCCTGAAGCTACAACACAACAATCACAACGAATCTATACGACTCTACGTCACGAACACCGGCCGTCATAATTTAATACTTGGCCAACCCTGGATGAACAAGCACCGAGTAAACCTAGACTACGACAAGGAAAGACTAATCTTCACCGCTCAACGATGTAAAGAACGTTGTCTTAGAACTACTAGAACTCCTGTTCTCTCTCCTGAGGTACAGTGGAGCAACAACAGGCATGATGAAGCCTACCCTCAAAACCCAAAACTTAAGCATGTGCCACGACAACGGCACGACCACTGGCTACCTAAGATGAAGCGCCAGTTGAACGAACTTGTACCCGAACCTGTACCCGACCCTGATAGTGCCCAGCCAACAGACGAGCAGAACGACTCGTCGAAGTTGCAGCCAGAACTCGACATCTACTGTATAGGTGCTGCTCCGTTTATGAGCCTAGCACGCAAAAGAGGCTATGAAATCTGTGCTGTTAGCATTGCCGACATTGACAAGGCACTAACTGAGAAGAAGCACACCGATCCACTCACGAAAGTTCCTCAGGAGTATCATGACCTGATAGACGTCTTTTCACGAGAAGAGTCTGATAAGCTGCCTGTACGACGGCCTTACGACCACAAGATCAAACTAATACCCGGCAAACAGCACGGGTTCGGCCCACTGTATGGCATGTCTCAGAACGAACTCAAAGTGTTGCGCAAGTACCTCGAAGACCACCTGTCGAAGGGATTCATTCGCGCAAGCTCCTCCCCAGTCGCCTCCCCTGTTATCTTTGTTAAGAAACCCGGCGGCGGACTACGCTTCTGCGTCGATTACCGTGCCTTAAACGCCGCCACTGTTAAGAACCGTTACCCAATCCCGTTGATCCAAGAGACCTTGAGCCGACTGAGCAAGGCCAAGTATTACACGAAGCTCGATATTATTGCTGCCTTCAACCGATTGAGAATTGCTGAAGGAGACGAATGGCTAACAGCCTTCCGCACTCGATATGGGTTGTTCGAATACCTAGTGATGCCCTTTGGACTAGCTAATGCGCCGAGCACGTTCCAACACTTCGTGAACGATGTACTACGCCCGTTCCTAGACGTCTTCTGCACGGCCTACCTTGACGATATCCTGATTTACAGTGAGAATCTCCATGAACATAAGGAGCATGTACGATCTGTTCTAAACGCCCTTCGAGAAGCCGGACTCCAACTAGACGTAGACAAATGCGAGTTTCACCAGACTGAGGTGACTTACCTTGGCTACGTAGTTGGAGTAGACGGAATACAAATGGATCCGAAGAAGGTGCAAGCTATTGTAAATTGGGAGTACCCAAACAACGTTAAGGACATCAGAGCATTTCTAGGCTTCGCAAACTTCTACCGACGGTTTATAGACGGTTTCTCCTACCTAGCTGCTCCGCTAGTAGCGCTGACTAAGAAGGATACTAAGTTCCTCTTCAATGACGACTGCCAGAAGGCTTTTGATGCTTTGAAGCATGCCTTCACTACTGCACCAATATTACGACACTTCGACCCAGACCTGCCAATTGTTATTGAAGCCGACGCTTCCGACTATGTTACAGCAGGAGTGCTGTCCCAATCTGGACCTGACGGCGTCCTCCGTCCGGTCGCGTACTACTCGAAAAGAATGAACCCCGCTGAGAACAACTACGAGATCTACGACAAGGAGCTACTTGCTATTGTTCGCTGTTTCGAACAGTGGAGACCAGAATTAGAAGGCGCTGCCTTCCCAATCGACGTGCTCAGCGACCATAAGAACCTGCAGTACTTC